GAAAAAGAACAAAAAGAAAACAAGGGGTCCCAAAATAGAAAAAGGAAAAGGGGTTTCCTTTGGCAAAGCTTGACCTCGCTTGAAATGCAACCTGGAGCCAAATTGCGGCGCATATCTAGGGGTCATTATTTTGCAGCCACACGCCTCCACGCATCCTTCGCAGGACGAGGTTGTTTCCTGGACGGACGAGTGCTAGGAGCCTGTCAGATAGAATAGAATCCATTTGGGAAACCCCCTCTAAACAGAGAGCTGAGCCAGGGCTTGGGGCAGAGCTCAGCTGTTGAGACACCTGAGACAGCTGAGACACTTGAGAGACAATTGAGCTGCATCTTTTAAGGTGAGTCTCAAGTGTCTCAAGTGTCTCAAGTGTCTCAAGTGTCTCAAGTGTCTCTGAGACAAGTCTCGAGTGTCTCAAGCGTCTCGGCGTAGACAAAGTCCCACGTATGCCCCCCCTTGTCGGCAAGGCCTGAGAGAAGTCCGCGCCCGCGCCGTCCAGCTTGCTGCTGCTGCTGCTGCGCACGCTGTAGACCACCTCCGTGCGCTTACAGGCCTATCATCACGCTTGGCCGTGTGCTTGTCGTTCTCGGGCCAGGCTCGTCCGATGTGGCTCCCAGGCCGTCCTCAAGAATTGCCTGCAGGGGTGTGTGCTGCAGAGGCTCATTCCGCTCAAGGTAGCCCACCACCTGCTCAAAGCGCGGGCGCTGATTGAAGCCGTGCGCCCGAAGCGTCTTCATCTCTTTACCGTTGCGCAACTTCGTCCGCGGCTCATTCCACGCCCCGGCGCTTGGCGCGCGCGTAGCGCAGCTGGGGTACCTGGCGGTGCACGGCCTCCGTCAGCCGGCCCAGCCAGTTGTTGAAGGCCCGCGCCTCCTCCTCCAGTTCTCGGTAGCGCTTCAGCAGCAGCGGCTGCAAGTTATAGCTGGGGTACGTCTTGCGGAACCACCGGAGCATCTGCGGCTCATCGCGGGGTTCAATGGACATCATCTTGCTTTTACACTAATACGCTTGCGCCTGTGGTCAACCGGTCATAAGCGGACTGCCTCTCCAGCATGCGCAGGGTGCGCTGCTGCTCTCTTGTGAGCTGAGGTGGGGGTGCCTCAACCGGTGGTGCCTCAACCGGCGGTGCCTCCGCCGGTGCCTCGGCCGGCTGCCTCAACCGGAGGCGGCTTTGGCTTGCGCTTCGGGGCAGCCGGCTCAGTAGGCACGTCCTGCTTCGGTTTGTTCTTGCTGCCAGGGGGCCTGCCCCGTCGTTTCGGCTCCGGCGCCTCCAGCGCAGCGTCCTACGCAGCGTGTAGTGCCTCCGGCGCAGCGTGCGGTGCCTCCGGCGCAGCGTACTCCTGCGCCTCTGGCGCCTCTTGTTCGGTCGGCTCCATCCTTTTTAATTATACGTGGACAAAATATAACTCGAACAACAACGACAACCCGCGAGGCCGGACGACGTTGCCGTCCAGGTCGGTCAGCCGGAAGCGCATGTGCCTCAGGGTGACGGGCCCCCTGAGGGCCATGAAGTGCCCGCCGTCGGAGCGCGTCTCCACAACCGCTCTTCAGCGTGATCTTGGAGAGGATGTCGTCGTCTAGTCTGTACACCTATGTACGAACCGGAGTAATAGCTCGTTTTGCAGGGTTTTGCGCTTAAAAATGCTATTACTCTAGTGCCTATATCAATATAGACACTAGAGTAATAGCTTTTGCACGGTTTTTGCGCTACAAAACGCTATTCCTCCAGTGTCTATATTGGTATAGGCACTAGAGGAATAGTTTTCCTTCGCCGTACGACTCAAAACGCGTGTATGGAGGTAGTCACACCGCCGGAGCCCAGGATGAGCTGATGCAGAGCCTGGACTACAAGCTGAAAACAAGCAACACCAGCTACGTAACGGCGCGGCACGATGTGCAGTACTTCCCCAGCTCGCTGAGCTCGTTCTCCCCCACAACCTCTCGGGTCTGCCGCATCCCGCACGTCCTTCATCGACCCCGAGTCGATCAAGATCGCCTTCCGTGTCAGGAACACGGACGGCGCCCAACTTCGTCCAGCGCGTCCAGGTCTTCGCCAACGGCCAGCGCTGCGACGACATCAACTACTACGGCCGCACCGTGGCCGTGCATGACCTGCTGAAGGGCCGAGAGTACAACCGCAACAAGGCCATGGAGGGTTTCGACGAAGTGGACGACCCCCGCATCGCCCGCGCGGTGCACCAGGGCGGCTACGCGGACGTGCTGCTGCGCCCCACCATCGTGACCATCCTGCGCTGCGGGAAGATGCTTCCGCCGCAGCTGAACCTGGTGATAGAAATCAAGTTCGCAGACGCGACGACTGCGCTGTGGTAACGCCGGCGCACACCCGTCGGGCGCCACGCTGAGCACCGACTTTGAGATCCAGAACGTCCGAGTTCTGGCCTCCCAGGTCGTCCTGGACTCTGCGCTGGTAGAGTCCTTCAACCGCGTGCTCCTCTCAGGAAGGTCGCTCCCTACCCCACGGTGCACACGCAGCAGTCCAGCGTCCCGAACGGAGTCGCGGAGCACAACGTCACCGTGGCGCGCGCCTTCACGAAACTCATGGGCGCGTTCGTGACTTTTTGGGACAACGACGCGGGCTCCAAAATCCACTTGCTGGCCAACCCGGGGCACGCCTGCCACGCCTTGCGCGCACTGCACGCACCTGCAAGGACACGCATTGTTTTGCCTTTAAGTTTCACGGGGGGTCAACGCACCTCCTGCTCCAGGCGCATCCGTGCCCTGGAAGCAGTGCTACTTTCAGCAATCCCGGTTAAAAGAACTGCGGCCGCTTCGGACTTGCTTTGTTCTTTTGGGTGGTCTGGTTTGGGTTCAAGATAGGAGCAGTGCAACATGCCTTAACAAGGGGCTTCCTTTGGCAAACCTCGACCTTGATTGAAATGCAACCTGGAGGCAAATAGCAGCGACATCTAGGGTTGTTTTGTTGCAGCACGCCTGCGCGCAGCATTTTAGATTTCGAATCCGAGGTTGTTCCTGGACGGACGAGTGTCAGAACCCTCCCAGGTGCAATTAAATCCGTTTGGGGAATAGCCTCTAGAGAAAGAGCTTGCCCTTGTCAGTACTGATCCATTATTGACTTTCCGTCGACTCAAGATGACTCAATATTGACAATCACGCGTACAAACATACCAGCGTTGCCGGGGTCCGCGAAAATGGAGCACCTTAGCACACTTACAGCTGAACACCCGCCTTCACTGGCATCTCAGCTGGCCGCCGTGGGAACAGGGCAAGTTGCCAAAACGGGCGCAGTTAGCACTGGCAAATAGCTCTCGCACCACACAGAATGGAGCCGGTCATTCATCAGCGGATTGGTCTCAGCCACAGCCCGCCTGCAATAGCTGCGCAGCACGACACACGTACGTGTGCAGGGCCGTCCCAAGTCCTATCTCAGTCGACCGGCAATTATGGTGCGGGGAAAAAACAACTGGGTGTACACAGGTTTTAAGTTCAGGGTCGCGTGTGTTTCTGGGGTTTCATTCTGACCGCGTTGCAGTGGCGGGGGATTCTGGCACAAGTTCGGCGGGGCTTGCCGCAGTGGCTGTGTGCACATGCGGGGTATCTGTTTTTTGGCGTGCCATCACGCACAAGGTGCAGGGCTGACCCCTACAACGGGGGACGCGCACAATCAGCTCGACTAACCCAGTCCACCCGTACATTTTACGAGTGAATTCGAGCCGAAACAGCATCTTGAGCCAGGCCACCGAGAAGAATTTTGTTCTGGGGTTTTCTGATTCTGGTTGGAATCGGTTTGACATTTCAATTGCACTGACTACTGTTGCAGGCGTGCCCCGTTGGGGTGCGTCTGGCGCGAGAACACTACGTGTTTACTGGCCTCCAGCACGCTAGGGCATGGGCCGGTGGTGTTTAGGGTTTCCTTTTGTGTGTTTTTTTTTGCTTTTGTTTCTCTCGTTTGGGTTCTGAACAAAAAGGAGGCTTCGACCCCCACCCTGTTTCTACGAAACCCCAAGCAAAACATGAGTTTAAGTTATGTTCTGGAAAGTGGTTTTTCAGTCTTTGTTATTTTTCGTTGGACGTGTTGGTGGGTGAACATGGGCTAACCAGGGATCCCGGTAGTTAATTCTTTGTGCCATGGGCCAGAGACAGAAACGGCAGTCTTTTCCATTCCTTGCTTGTCATTGGGCACTTTGTTCACCCAGGATTGGACATTGCCATCAGCCGTTCGGGCTCAAGGGGAAGCAAATGATGCTGCAGTGAGCTGACATGCAGACCGCAGATTTGTGGTGCCCCACACCATGGGACAGACTCAAGGCTCGAGTGAGCAGACCCAAAAACCACCCAACACACCAAAAGCTTTGCAACATGAGCTGGTAGACCGGCCTTTTGAAATAGCCCGTTATAAGTCCAGCCTTTTGCATCTCGACGTCATGGCCCGAATCCAAGGCGTCAGTAGGGCCTTCTTAGGTGTAGTGAATAGCACCTGTTAGCACCTGTCGGTGTGTCGTGTTTTGAGAGTATGCTTTGGAAGGGAACCAAGGGGCATCCACTGGTTTAAGGGGTTCCCAGATTGAAAGACAATCCCACTCATTGTCAAGTGCCAGGAGCATAGCCCATATTGGCCATGTCCTTTTGGTGGGAACGCCTAACTGTCCAGGCGTTCTTGTGTCCATGGTCTGAGTTATCCGAGGCTGAAATCAACCAGATGATGGACTCGGTCAAGCTTGCACGTTTGCTGCACTTCAAACCCTTTGGTTTGAGATCGAACCCCTTCAAATCCTAAAGGAACCTTCTTGGAACATGTCAGCTTCCTCACCGACCAAGTCGCCCACTTTTGCCAACGTTGGCATCCTGACCTCGGTGCCAAAATAATTTCAACGCCCAACCTTGGTGGGTTTTTTTGGAGGGCCTTAGTTGTTTTTCTTCTTCTTTTCTTATTTATTATTATTATTATTATTATTATTATTAAGAGGGAAGCCAAAGGGACACCACTCCAACTTTGAGACACACGCTTGCTTCGAAGCCGCCAGGACGACGAGAACTTCTCTGTGTCGCTCCCTTGGGCGACTAATTTTCTCGTCAGATATGGGTCACATGTCACGTCAACCGATGATTTGTGTTGCAAAGGTGTTTATCAATCAATTGGTGGAACCCCCAAACCGGTACGGTAGTTTCCTTGTGGTTTCCGTACAACGACCACCCGACAGAGTGTTAACTCGAAGACTCTGTTCACCTCGCAGTTGCCGTTCTTGATTGATTCCCAAAGTCGAAAACTAATAATACATAATACTTTTAATAGTTTTAATAAATAACATTTCCAGGCGCCTTGGCCCAGGTCCTTGTTTCTTCCTTTCTTGGTGTCCAGGTGCGCCCCCCGCACTCCCTCCGTCAGGCGCCGTTTTCGCGGGGGGAAGTTCTCTCGCGGCTTTCCCGAGCCCGGCGCGCGGCCGCGATTCGAGGCATTCGGCCATCTCCAACGAGGATGACTTCGCGGAGGACGAGGAGGCGACGGGACGGTGACAGTTGGCTTGGGACGGCGGACAGAGGGGACAGGGGGGACAGGGATAACAGGGGGACAAGGGGACAGGGGACAGGGGGGACAGGGGGACAGGGGGAGTGGGAGGAGGACGGTTTGGGGGCCACAGGGTTTTTTGCCAGATAATAATAATAACAATAATAAAATCTGGTTTGGCTGGGGGGGTTGGGGGTGGGACAGGCCCAAGACCAACTTTCAGAAGGAACATGGAAGGTGGGTCATGCGGCTTGTTGAATACCCAGAAGTCAGTTCCAAGGGCACAAGAAGCTGAATAGGATCAAGAAGCCTCCTCCCCTCCACTTGTTTCAGCCCATTTAAGTGTGTTTTGTGAGGCTCAGTATATCTCGGACCCTTTCATTTTGGGGTGGTTTCAAAGGAAATTGCAACGACGCCGAAGGCAGTCGCGTTTTGCCAACCCACCATGAAGCCCATGGTTTCCCACCCCCTTTCTCCCATCCTTTTCGGTCTCCAAGTCTCATGTTCTCCAGGTTTCTTTTCCCATGTTCTGGTTCTAACTTCCATCTTTTGGTTCTATTTCCAGCTTTTTATCGTGGTTTTCTTGGGGTGTTTAAGTCCGTTTTAGTGGGGGTCAACACCCGCGTGCGGCGCCCACGTTCGTGCGGGCCCCCCAAAAACCTCAGGTGGACTATTTGGCCTTGGAGCTGCTGCACCACCTTCCGGCGGAGAAGGCGTCGGTTTTCCGGGTCGGTCCCTTCGGGGGAGCGGTTTGGGGGGGTCGTTCCTTCGGGGGCAGGGGGGGGGGGGGCATAGCCCTTCGATAAGGGGTGGGGGGGTTTGTTGTTCTGGAGGGGGGGGTTGAAAAACGGGGGGGGGGGGATTTGGGGGGGGGAGTCGAACAACAAGGGGGGGCGGGGCCGCCGGCAAAAAGGTTGCGTTTTTCGAAGCCTACGTTTTTCTTTTTTCCCCTAGTTGAGCAAGAAAGTCAGGCCACCCCTATGACCATATTTGTATCTGTTTTCTTTTCGGAAAACCCAACACCTCTTCCTATTGGCCTTGTTGGTGGGGAGTTCTACTCGCAGTGCAATGCCTTCAGAGACAGCCGTCAATTTTCGGCGCAACTGCTGCAGAGAGGGACGACGCCAAGCCAGTTCTAGATTTCGCGTTGGAGTGTGGTCCTCTCTCGTTGGCGACGCCGGGGAGTCCCTTGTTTTGCCGTGGTTTCGCCACTCACCTGAGTCAATCCGGCAGGCGGACAAGCTCATGAAGAGCTTGCGGGCAAAGGAGAAGGCGGTACAGGAGCCCCGCCGCTGTCACGGCCAACGTGGGCACCCGGGAAGGATGGCACCCGGCAACTGCTCAGGGGGTGTGAAAAAGGTACGGGGCCCCCCGAAATGGGTTGTTTTCCTCTTGGCTTCTCTTCAAAGCAACCTCCAAAGGACACGAACTCAAGTGATTTGCTGGTCGGACAGCCACGGCTTTCCGATCCGGTTGCTTGGGATTGTATGGACCAGAGTTGGGGCTTGAGACCATTGCAAAGGTTCCTGAGGGCATAGCGAGATCTGCCCCTGGCAAGGGGGGGGGGGCTTTTCATCGGTTCCAAGGCAGTGGGCGGCCGTGTGGGCGACTGAAACTTACGGCCTGCGAAAGGCGTTCGGTGCGACAGATCCGCCCATGTCTCAATGTTTTGCTGGCCGAGACCACGAGGGACATGGCATGCGTGACGTCCGCAGCTGTGCTGGCTTAAGACTAGCATCTACAATTTCAAGTCCTTCCGCTGTTTGTCGTTCAATCTTCAAGACGCCCGGAGGCACTTTCATTTAGTCCTTGTAGTTTGTGGAGGGGAAACTAGGGCAGTTCAACAAACTTTTGGGTTTGTTTAACAGGGAAGTTGAGACACACCCATTTCCTTGTTCAGTTCGTGCGGCTGGACGTGAAACGCGAAGCTTGCGTCTTTAAGATCCAGGAAACACAAATTGGATCAAATTGGATGCCCCGACACCTGGCTTTTCTCGGTTGTCTCCTTCCATGCAAAGTCCCCGGTGAGTTTGAGCTCGCGAAAGAAATAGCCAACCGTGGATGGGTGACCAGACCTTGGGCATCTCAGAACAAGAATCATACACCCTAAGGTCAACTCCTGACGAGAAAAGCGGGGGGTTCATCATGAAAAGCCGTCATTTCGCCCTTCGAAGTCTGGCCTTGAACAAAAAACAACTCGGAGCATCTCATTTGAGAGCCCACAAGAACCATTGGCCAGTTCCACCTGGTCTCATGGGGGTCGTACCAACTTTGGTGTAGCCAGTGAAGCCAGTGAAGCGCTCGGGGTTTGGGCGCAGCTCGTCTCGCGTTGCGCGACCCTTTTGAAGAGATGGGACCCCCAAAAGAGGTCGCCTTGCTCTTGGCTTCTCTGGCAAAAAAGCAAAACACCCAGAGGTTTTTTTTTGCATTGGAACCCAACTTTAAAGGCAAACTTGTCTCGAAGGCGAAGCCCCTATGATTGCTGGACTTCCTTGAGTTTCCTTTGTAAGCAACCAAACAGGGTACTACCCGAACAAAAGTGCACCCAAACACAGCTAGACCCCCAGAGCTGGTAAAGAGAGGCCATGTGGCTTCTTGGACATCTAGTGTCGAAAGAAAGACACCTGAACCATGGGGGACATCTTTTTGTTTGTGTGTGTTGTTCGAGGGTATCCTTTTCACCTTGGTTTTCAGGGAGACCAAAAGGGCGCCATCTTTTTTGGGCTCGTGTTTTGAGACGTCCACGTAGCCACCAGAGCTCAGCCTAGGATGGGCTGCAACAACTCCAAGAAGGCGGCTCCTCCTCAGGCTGGCGGTTCGATCAAAGCGAGCTGACTTGTCTATGGTCCGTTTGTTGTGTAGCAGGGGACCTCCAAAGTAGGCGGTTGCCCTGTTGGCCTCCTCTTTAAAACAACCCCAACATGGGTACCTGTGAGGGAAAAAATACAAACAACAAATCGGAAAAACAAATTGAAGTGGGGGGGAATATATATATATATATATATATAAAACAAAATAAAACAAATCCAAATCATTTGAAGGTCGTGACAGGGAGCCACCAGATGTGAAGCACAAGAGCTGCGGGAGCCCCTTGAGGCTGCCGGCCCCCCCCAGTCGCTTCCATGGCGACTTCTGGTGCCGGGGTGCCATGGGCTTATCCCAATACCACCAGTGAAGATCCGGTTCAATCCAACCACGAAAATAGGACGCCTAAAATGGGCGGTGGATTCACCGAAAACCCCAAAATGGGATCCCAAAACGGTTTTGAACCATGGCCAGGTGAAGAAGGAGGAGAAGAAGGCCGAGCCCGTTGCGCCCAAGGAGGGGGGGGTGAAGGGGGTGAAGAATGCCGGGTCTCTTCTTTGTCTGGGGTGTCCTTGTCCATACCTGAAGCGCGCTTTGTCTCTTTTTTCCTTCTTGTTTTTGCATTTTCCTCTGTTTTTTTTTTTTTTTTGTTTTTTGTTTTGTTTTTTGGTTGGACCTTATGGGGCTGTCTTGTTGAGTTGGTTGTTTAATGGAAGATCGGGACTGAAGCGCACGTTCGGTGACGAATCCTCAGTGGATGGTTGGCGCTGACTTCAAAGTAAGCTTCGCACCCGTGAAGTCGTCGGACCTGTGTTGGGACATTGCTCTTTTCCTCCAAAGCGCTTGTGATTCTCGACATGGCGATGTCGTCTTTGCCAGTTGCTTGGGGTCTCTGTTCCAGTTTTCAAGCCCGAGGACCTTAAACCTCGAGATTTCGCGAATGAAGAATCCAAGCCTTCGAATGGGACACGCACCGAAGGAGACACCGAAGGAGGAGCCCAAGAAGGAGGACGGAAGTGTCAATCGTGGGATCTGGCTGAACAGACTTTTCGGCCTTTTCTCCTTGTTTCGGAAGGGGTTTCCATGTATGAACCACCAGAGAGGGACTTTTGGAGACTTTTCCTTTGGATGGGGGTCCGTAAACAACTGGGTTTGTGCTTTTTGAGGGTGCCCTTCTTGGGATGTTTTTTTGTTTGGTTGCTTCTTTTTTTGGGGCACCAAAAAGACACGTGCCCCTATTTTGCCACCCCCATGCCTTTTGGTGCTTTCTTGCGGGCCGTCAGGAGGGAGGCATCGCAGAGACTGCCTGATGCTCAGTTTTGCTCGAAGTTTGCCGGGAGCGCGTGCTTCGCCTTCGAAGCGAGGTGGCGGACGCTGCGGAATCTGCCGCTTAGCTTCCAGGGGAAAGATTTCAGTCCCTAGAGTCGATCCTTCGAAGAAGTTTTTGCGCTTGTTTCTGTATATGTTTCCTTTTGGTGGTTTTAAACATTAGCTTCTGGGCTGCAAAAAAGATTGGGTCCGACGCTTCTGGGGACTCCGAGGCTGCGCGTTTTTTTTTTTTGCGCAGGTCATGGACGGCTTGAAGGCGCTCGTGGGCTACGGTGCCCGGAGCCGAGATCTGGGTCCAAGCGTCTGCCTCCCGCGCGGTTCGCGCGGATGGATTTTTCAGGAAGAGGAGAAGGGCGACGTGGTGGATGTGTCCAAGGGAATGCAGGCTGGGAGCGGTGAGAAATGGAGAACCGGGACCCTCAAACAGCATTTAGAATGAGAAGCAAAGTGGGGAAGGAGGAACTTATGCAAGATCTCCATCCTTTTGAAGCGTAGTTTTTGAGGGTCCAGGCAGACACGAGACATTGAAGTGCGCTAGAGGAAATCCACTGGACAGGTCACCAACATCCGCCGACAGCAGAGTGGCAAGGTTGTGCAGCACACAGCCACTGACGTGCTTGTGATTCTTGGCCAGCATTCTCTGCCCAGAAAGGCGGTTCGCAGCGGGAGGGGGCTTTTTCTGGTAAAACAATTTGGGACCTGGGCTCACTAATTTGCGTTTTGTCGTTTGATTTGGGAGAGAGGTGCTTTCGAAAGTCACTTGGTCATGGGTCATAACCTATGCCTCCATTTTGGGGCGGATGAACACCCATGTGTTACCTATTTCGATTGGTCACCAGGGTACAGGGTTTTGACCTACAGCCACTTGCATGTTTGGAAACTCGGTGCATCCGATCCTGAGCTGTTTCTCAGGAAGTACGACGACGGCAAGACCGAGTGGGCTGAGATTGAGGATCTGAAGAAGCTGGAGGCACCTGCGGTGGGCGAGGACAAGGCGGGGGTGGTTTGGCCTTAAACTCGCCCTCAAAACGCCTCCTGAGCGGCTTGACACTGAGGGTTTGTCTCGAAAAAGGGGCCAGCCCCAAAACGCATGGTTCTCCTTTGACCCTCAAAAAGAAGCTTGCCAAGATAGCATTTTATTATAGACACGTAAACCAAATTGGCTACATTCAGGAACCATTCAAGTAGTACAAGACTCGTGGTTGCTCTAAGTTCCTCAATTGAAATGAAGCTTCCTCAAGAAGCGGGAGTTTGGGGCAAAATGCCAAGTTCCGGCTTGCACTTGTTCTCCTTTATCACGTCGAGTCGTTCCCCTGGAGCCCGACTGAGGCAAATAAAACGGGGAAGTCAGCTTGCGGGTTTCTTCTTAGTTTCCCTTCAACGCCACACCCAACCAGGGTTCCGTTTTTTTAACTCCCAAGGTCGACTTAAACCTAAGGGTTCCCTTTTGGGGTTTAAGTCGACCTTGGGGTAGTCAAAAAAAAGCGGAACCCTGCACCCAAACCGTCGAATGAGCTGATGGGATTTTTCTTTCGCCCAGGGATCTCCGGACGTCCGCGTGGAGGGCGCGGGCGACACCAAGGCCATCTGCCCCTTGGGCTGCATCGTTTTTTTTTTTTTTTTGCATATGATATACATCAAAGTTCTTAAGGATTAGAAAAATAAACCATGTCTCAAAACAACCTCAGGATTTCCATTTCAGGAGGCGTTTTTTGTTTTGCTTCTTCCTTTTTCGGTTGGAGCGCTCAGGGAAACCCAAGTGCTTCGGCGGGGACGCCTTCAAAAGGGTTGCGGGGCCACGTGGTAAAACCACCAAAGCCCTCTGGGTCGGACATAAAATCACCGTGCGTTTGAAAGGGCCACTCAGCCACCAAAGAGCCTCGGAGGAAACATGGGGTCGAGAAAGGCCATTCTGAATACGGGATGTTGCGGGGGGAACGTTATGGCCATTTGATGGACTGCGGGTTTGCACTCAAGGTGGCTGTTGGCGTCCTAGCCTCCCTTGACCCTTTTGCCCGAATCGTGGAGGTAGCAACTGCCTGGTTTGTCTTTGTTGGCTACCATGAAAAGGCCAGGACATCCAGCCCCTTGGCCATATGGACTTATGTGTCAAGATAAGCAGGAAAGAGAGGAGGGCACATGATGAGGACAGTTGGTGAAATCACCAGAAAGGAGTAGCTTTTCGTTTCCATCGGCCTCTTGGGATTGGGGTACGGGGCCACTTTCTGAGGGGTACATGGGAGTTTCTCAAAATGGGCCACTTTCTGCAGCAAAAGGACACCCCTGCCATTGTAGCGACTCGTATATTCAGCAATGTTGGCCGGTCTTAATTCCTCTTTCTTGGGGAGCCCCTTTTTGAGTTGTTTTTTAAAGGACACCCAAAAGGAATCCGTTGCCATTTTCGGGGTCGCCTAAAAAGATGAAGGCAACTTGGGTGCGCGTGTTTTTCTTTGCTCCATGCCCTTTTCGGGGGTTGGGGCCAAGGGGGAAATTCACATGAACACCACCAGTGTTCTTGAGGGCACCCTTTTCGGTTGAGGAAAAGAAGGGGGGGAAATGCAGCGAAAAGATTCGGGGCGTCCAAATCCCGACGCATAGGTGTCCTTTTTGGTTGTTTTGCTCAAAAAATAGATGGCGATCCCTGGTTTACCTGGTGGTTTAATGATCTACCAGGGCCATCTATTTCCCAGGACACCTATGATCCCGACGCATCGCCAGCAGTGGTCCCTGAGGCTCTTGCGGATGGCTCTGAGCCGCTTCCCTGGCGCTGGGCTGAGTTGCTTGGGGTCAGGATGATGCTCCTGGCTGATCGCCCGGCCCACGGGCCGAAGCTCCAAGGGCTCGAGCAAAACTTGTTTCTCCTTCCGTTTGACCGGGGTCTTTTGAGCTGGATTTGAGCTGGAAAAGTCGACATGACTGGCTGGCGTTCTGGAGGGTTTCCTTGTAGAGCAGGTGGTTTTTGGATGATGCAATTGCTCGAGCCTTCTGCCGGCGGGAAACATCTTTCACGAGCTACCCAAGTTGGCATTGGAGCGAAATGGGCGAGCTCAAGCAATCGGTGTCACGACTCTTGCTTCGAGTAGGATTGATCCACGACGACCTGCAGGAATCACATGGATTTCTCAGGGCATCTTCGGGGCAGCGTTCGCATGGGCGATTGCTGTTTCCTGAAGTTCCTTTCTTTTTGCCATAATTCGATGCCTTTTCCCGGCGACTGGACTGGACAAATGGAAGGTCTGGTTTCGGAGCCAAGACAACTTGAACTCTAGCAGGAGCTGCCAAAGATGCGCGAGACAGCATTCAAGCTTCTACAGATGATGTGCTGACAGAAGAGTACGTTCGGGGCAACCTGTTTGCGGTTTGCTTCTTCTTACGGGCGTGTCTCACCAGGGTCTCGCCACTTTGGTTGTAACACCTGAGTTACAATCAAAACCCGGGTAGATGATCCGGTTGGTAAGGGACGATCCCCTTGCCATAGGTGCGGACCTCCGCCTTCTTAATCCTTGAAGCATGGTTCTGGGTTCACCATGTTGTGCCGGGTTTTGATTGTGACTCACCTTTCGATTGGCGCACGGTGTCCACTTGCGGTCGTTTTTTTTTTTTTTTTTTCTTGCGGGGGCGTCAGACATTGCAGGACCTGGTGTCGCGGAATCGGTCTCTTCTCAATTCCTGTCAGGCGGGAGTGCAGCGAGCTTCCTGCAAAGGTTGCTTGGCCCCTGGCCGTTTCAGAAGAAACTACTTGGCTCCATATGCGTTATTATAGTATGGCCCTGCCTTTCTGAATCTTTGCAACCAAAGTCCAAAAGTCAAAGTCAATGAGTCAAAGTCAATGGAACCAAATCTCGCAGCATCTGAGTCAATGGGTGCAGACGTGCAGTGCACTGTGAGCTGAGCCGCAAGCCGCAAGGTGCAGCTCACCCTCAAGCCGTTGAGCATCAGATTTGTCCTCTGGTTTGTAAAGGTCTTGGAAGGGGAAGGTCCGAACCTTGACATCTGGTTGCAGTTGAACGTCCCACCCGACACCCAAGACTCCTCGCCGACCGGAGTCGGCCGGGGCCTGTTGAGCCAGAGCCATGATCTTTGGCGATGAGGTCAAGTCGCATTGGGCTGCTCGGAAGAATTCGAGGGGTACCTTCCCCATTCACCCCATTCTTTCTAGGGATCCAAATTTTACTAGAAAACCTCAAAAAACCCAGGGAAAACGGCCGGTTTGTGGAACGAACGATGGTTGGAAAGAATGGGGAATCAAACCCTAGAAGAATGGTCTCCCCCTAGACGCTTGCTTGTGAAATTGGGGGCCCAATGGATGGTTCGACTCCAACTTCCTGGACAAGATGTGGGCACACTCAGCCATGATTGCCATCATACCGGACGGGAACTGTACCCGCGTTTTGGGTGTGCCTGGGAGGCACATGGTGCCCGCATCCTATGTTGACCTCTCCCCCCCAAACAAAAACAAAGAAGAAGAAGGGAAAACGCATGAAATAAAGTGGTATCCTTTTGGTTCTGCTTTAAAGCCACAAAGGTGGTACCCTTAAAACCGCCGAGCCCCGTGGCGGTTTGTCGTTGAGGCCACCTTCCTAGTTCTCTTCTTTGCCCACGGCATGAAGAACCTGGTGAACCAGGCCAGTCGAAAGCGGACCCGAGTTCTGGAGGCTAAAGGCGTGTGGCAAGTGGCTGTGGATCAAAACCGTTTGGGTACCATTTTGGGGTAGGCGAATCCCATTTTTGGTTTCCTATTTTAGTGGCTGGATTGAATCGGAGGTTCACTGGGGGTACGGAATTTTGGATTTTGACCCATGGCCAAGTGATCGCTAGGTTTCCTTCACTCAGTTTCGGAGTTTCCGCTTGGGAGGTTCTTCCTCGAAGTTTTGGAGGCTTGCAAAGAGCAGCTTGCCATAGTGATCGGAGAACCCTCCACTTTCGTGGAGACCAAAAGGCCACCGGGACTGCCCTCTTAAGGCGGAAAGCCACACGGAAATCCAACTCCCCTCTTCCTCCCTCCCTCCAAATTGGAACTGCCTAGATGGCCAAGTTTCTGCTTTGTTTCAGTCACTGTTGCCTGCTTTTTGGGGTACAGTGGATGGAAAAAAGCGATCGCAACTGGCGGGCTGTACCGAGCATCCTTCGTTCCGGTTTAAGCTGCGTGTCAGGTGGAGATTGCCTTCGCGAGATCTCTGGTGGCATGTGAGGAGACCGACCGAGCGAGGGGTGTTTCTTCTTCGCATTGGACGTGCCGAGGATACCAACGACCGCGTAGGATTGAGAGTCACCTTTAGCCAAAGCAGGTTGTTGAATGTATCCTGTAAGGCACTTGTAGAGGGTTGACAAACCGTCCTATCATCTCGGGGGCGATTCATCCCACGTATGGACGGCATGGAGTGAGTTTTTCCTTGTTGGATTCCCGTTTCTTGATTCGTTTAAAGGGAAACCGAAGGGGAGCCACCAATTTGCACGGACCTTGAATGACACTGATGGGCTCCAAAACGGGCTGAAACTTATTTCAATCAACTGATGTGAAGGTGCTTTTGAGCCTACCTGATTGAACAAGTCTTTGACCCCCCCAAGAAAAGAAAGGTGTGGGTTTCGTTTGAAAAGTATGCCGAGCTTGCCCCACAGTTTGTGGCAATTGGGCATTCTTTTCTTCCAGAAAACCACTCACAGGGTAGGGGGGTGGGTATCTGGGGGAACTGGTACCATTTTTATACAATCCCAATGGTGTCACAGCCACTACATATTCCCCAATCATTTGGATGTAAAGGAATGCAACCGAAACATTTTTATTTTATTTTTAACATCGAACATGGAGATTAACCCCTTCACCAAATGCCAATTATTGAGATCTTGCATAGTTGGGATCCCATTAAACGACAGTATTGCTGGTTTTCGAATGAATCAGGTTTGGGCCAACCCCCTTGTTCCAACGTGTCCAACCCACCGTCCTTCTGGTTCCCCCAAGGTGACCTGGACACCGAATCCAGCCCAAGGGTTGTGAGGAGCCGCTGGCAGACGCCTACACCGGCTCGCAGTGGTGTGGCAATCGCCTGGAGGTGATCACTGCGGGGTGTGCCTCCGGAACTTGGGCCCGCGTTGCTCGGGGGTTCATGGGGGGGGGGGGGCTGCCGGAGGGACTTCCACGGCGTTGACCGGCCGGAATGTGGGGGTTAATAGGGGTTACAGGGGACATTCTCCCCCTCAAGCCGATGTTTTGGAGTGGAACAAGTGATGGGCCGAAGAGTAAAAGCTCAGCGAACTCCATGCAGTCTCACGGCGCTCACTCCTTTCCCCTGCTTAAGCTGGGAGCCTGGCTCATGAGAGCCTGGTTCTCGAGTAGCGCAGGTACCAGATTTCGCAACGGGGGCAGGCGCAAGAAAGCCGCTTGGAGGTGAGATGTCCGATTCTTCAGGGCTTCTTAAAAGATCTCCATTTTGCTCTTTGAAACATGGCTTTTTCCACCCAAATAAAGCGAAACCACCATTTACAAGGCAATGTTCAGGTGTATAATGTAAGGATCCCTGTTCCTTCTTGGGTTCCCTGAAGCTTTGCACAAATCGTGGAGCCACCAAGGCTTCGCCATGCTGCTGGCGATCACCATGGTGGCCATTCTAGGCGCGGGGGTGTCGCATGGGGTTGGCGAGCCTGCGTCCCTGGAGCCAGCGTCCGAGTCTCATTTGGGAAACCTGCAGGTGGTTGCCCCAAACCCGAAGCTGGGACTCAACGGAAAACCGGGAAAGGCCGTCTTCAGAGCGGCTGTATCAACATACCGTCCCATCAAATCCCCGCGGGTAAGGAGGGAAGAACTCATTTTAGTTTTTTTTCTTCTTCTTTTCCTGCCCGGCGAGATAGAGCTTTTTCTTCTGTGGTTGTCTTCCATCTAAATCCCGTCCCGGCGGTCCCGGCGCGTGGACTGAGTTTCGTGAGCCAGGCTCGGTCTTCGGGCGCAAGGCTGTTCTTCTGGTAGGGCTATGTGGTACCACCCTGTCCGTGGTCGCTCGCTTGCAGCCTTCGCTTCGTTTGACCGAGCTGCGTTGAGAGATGTGGGTGACCTTTTTTTGGAATGGGCTCATTTGGTGCAGCCCTCACCAAAACAAAGAACCCGAAACGGGAGGAAGGATCAGATTTTGGAGGTGCTCCCAAAGCCCAAAATTGCCCCCATAGAGGGCAAAGTGCCGTTGAACCAACGAAAACCCCCCCGAACCTCCAAGTTGCCGGGCAAAGCAAACCACACCCGAAAGGGCAAAAAAAAAGGGGAATTTTCCCCGGTGCCCCCTTTTTTCGAACTTTTTTGGGGAGTGGGGGTAAGGGTTCCGATTCCTTTGAAGTCAACCAACCAAAAAAGGATCGGAGGCTGCCAGAAGATGTGAGTTTTGGGTGGGCGGGCCGCATGGGGACAGTGGCGATGGGTGAGAGTGGGGATGGCCCTTGTTTTGCCATGCAAAACCCAGCGGGCAGCTGAGTCAGTCGCTTGCCTCAGGCTCTCTTCATCTTGGCCTGCGCCCTACCGAGCTGGGCTCGGCTGCTCTTCGTGGCGGGCCAGGGCTTGCAGGCGGGTTTCTCGTGTTGCCCTTGGTGGGTTTCTCCTGGGTTTTGATGTTCTGTATGGGGCCAAAGGGGTCTGTCGCTTTTTGGAGGGTGCCCCGCTTTCGTGGTTTTGAAGGGAAACCAAAGGGATGCTCCGCTCTTTTTGTGTTTTTGAACGGAAACCAAAGGGAAAACCACCATTTTTGGGGTCTATTTTGAGACTGTCATTTGTGAAGAAGACCGCCCAACACCTTTTGGCTTTGCGTTCTACCAAAGGATTTGCACAAACCTCACTGTAGTCACTGTCCCGCAAATCCAGTGGAAAGCCTCAGGAGAACATCCAAGGTTTCAGGCACTCAAATAGGTGCCTGACTCGCAAGCAGGGAATCTGGTGAATCGTTCGCCACGGGCTCCCCCTGGTCCCGCTCATCAGAGTCACAAGCAAAGCCCGGGTAATTTGGAGGGTAGCAAGGAAGAATCCCAGCCAGAAATGGGTGTGGATATCCGCCTTAATTCTTGAAGCATGGTTCTGGGATTACGACCATTTGAATGCCACGTTTGAACATGAATTTTTGACATGGTTTCGGGATTATGACCATTTTTATGCCACGTTTTGATCATGAGACATCTCATTCTCCTTCTACCAACTTTGGGCGGAACTCCCAGTTGACGCCCGGAAGTACACAGTCTTTGAGCTTCTTCAAGCTTCCTTGCAAGGTTTGCATTGGGGAAAGGACTCGTCGTAAGAAGAAGAAGCAAAAAAGGGGGAAAAAACAGAAACACAACAACACCATCGAGCGAGTTTTTCCCCTCTTTTTTGTTATTTCTTTTGTTTCTTTTTTCCGGGTCGCAGGGCTTGTTGCCCATCGACCACATCTCTGGGCTCATCATTCTGGACATCTCCGTGTCAGGTGGCGGTGTGGCGGCTTACCAGGCCAAGTCCATCTTGGAGCCTCGGCTGCGAGCGGGTGAAATCGATCTGGCGCCTGTGGGAGTTTTGGGAAGTCCTCCAAAAAAGCATGGCCACCAAAGAAGGGTTCTGCAGCTAGACGGCAGCCAAAGGGTGCTTGGGCAAGAGTGGTTTGAACATGAAAGCAACAGTTGGTTGGGCCCATCCTGGTGTAGAGTAGGACAACAAAAGGCTGGGCACGTTTGGACCGGTCTGGACAAAGGGAACGACGTGGCTGGTTTCCTATTGGTTTCTGACTTGACGCGAGCCGAGCGGGAATTAAGAGAACAACCAGGATGTCTGGTCAGGAAACCATATGGCCCACTTTGAACTTTTCAGCATCGTCCTCTCATGTTCCCCCAGCCCATGGGCCGAAGCCCACTGGTCCCCCCTCCCATGGTCTTGTCGATGCAGGCAGGCCCCGAAAAAGCGTTGAGGCGTTTGCCCGGATTTCCTTAGGGCGGCTTCCTGCGAGCGTGTTCAAATTTGGCTCGATGGATTCGCCATCCCCTTGAGTGGATTCGCCATTTTCACTCTTGAGCTTTTTGGCTGTTCAAAGGGCGATTTCCCCGCTTTTCCCCGTTAAGCTTTTAGCAGCCCAGGGGCTCAAGGCCTCACAGCGTCCGCAGGACACCGTGGGCAACTTGCTGTGGGGACCGATCCTGGGAAATGTGGTGCAGTACTTGGAGCTGGTGAATTACACCACTGCAGCGTCGATGCAAGCAGTTTCTACTTCTTCTTTGTATTTGGATCTTACTTCTGTTATTATGATTTTGCCAACAAGCAATCAATCAACCAGCCAACCAACTGACCAACCAACTGACCAACCAACTGACCAACCAACTGACCAACCACTCAGCCACCCCCAACCAGCCACCCCCAACCAGCCAACCAGCCAACCAGCCAACCAGCCAACCAGCCAACCAGCCAACCAGCCAACCAGCCAACCAGCCAACCCTTAGAACTCATTCAACGTCTCGCCCAACTAAAGGGATGGGTTTGTCTTTAGATCGGGGACCTCCCAAAAAAGGGTGGTCTCCCATTTGGCTGCCCCTTGAACCAGTCCTAAAAAGGGTTCCCTCAAAACAGACACGCAAACGCCCAGGTTTGGCTCATCATCTTCGCGGTCAACGCCAGTGTTCTGGGGCTGGCAGCTTTCGTGATGTCCGAGTCCATGGATACAAAGCGCCTTGCCAAGAGAGCCCTGCACAGAAGACGCCATCCCCTTTCGTAGTTTAGTAGTGTTTGAACCACTTGCTTGAACACGCTTGGGGGAACCACAACAAAAAAAGCAAAAAACAGCAGCCCAGAATTGAGCCACTCTTGTTTGAACGATGATTGGTTCCATGGGCTGGGGTCTGGATCTTGAAGCAATTTTGTGCAACCCTGCCTTAGGGGACGCCCTGCGAGTCTGAGCGCTTTCTGCACTTTTTAAGCTTCTATAGTTTTTGGGGAGAGCCACAAACGAACAACCGACAAAAGTACAAGGTCCCTGAAGGAATGGTTTTGGACCAGCCGAAGAAACACATCTAGCAGGGTTCGCATGGTTTTTCGTTTGGGGTGGTTTTGAAATATCACCTAGGCCCGTTTAAAGTGAGCGTCCTTTAGGCGAGGTCATGCATAAAGGGGGAATGTAGCCCAACTTGGCTCGCAACCGCGCGCTAGTCTGGGTACGGTATCTCCGAAGCCCGCTTTTGGGAAGATGGATTCTGTCACGATTTCAGTTTCAAGGAAGAAGAAGCCGGAGGAGGAGGAGGAGGAGAAAACCGGCAGTGCAGTTTCCAGGGTGGTGAACGAGGTCATGTCGTACAGCAGCTTGGAGAATTCATTTGGTTAGTGGTAAGTGATCACTTGATCAGACTTGAAAGGAACTTCTCCATCCAAGGTTCAGATAACTTATCCAGTTGAGGGTGAAATTTCCCAAACCAAGGGCAAGAAGTACGAAAGCATATCCATTTGGGTTTGACCCCATTATTCTTGGAACTTGGGAACCCTGAAGAATGTTTTTGTGCTTGGTTTCCAAAAACAAATCGAGGCACATCTGCTTTTTTCAAAAGTCCTCGTGCAGCTCAGGAGATGTTTACAACAATCCTTTGTCCTGGCGATTTCTGCTGATGGTTTGCATCGAGCCGTGCCGAAGTCTCAGCAGAACGGGGGGGAACCTGTGTCTCACTTCAGGAGGGGGTAGGGTGGGGGTGGCCGTTTTTTTTTTTTTTTTCCCCCCCCCCCCTTTTTTCTTTTCTTTTCAGTTTTTGCTTTTTAGGCAGGCGCAACCGTTTTCGGGGTAGCATTCAAAGCGAGGCCAGAAACTCCGCCCATACGGCGAAAGGCTTGGCTTGCAGGTTTTTTGGGCGGGGCAGAGGCCCCAGCCCTTCCTGGGTACGTCCCATCAAACAGCCAGGCTCATGTGTTTGGACGTCCAGGGGTCCGTCGAACGAATTGGTTCCAATCGCCGTGAGTTGCGTGGCTTCCCAGAGTTGGTTTGAAACCCGTTTCAAGGGGCCCGAAAATGGTGGTCGACACCAGCTGGGGTCCATGTGGGTGGCGAGTCTTAGGCTGGCTGCACATCCTGGGCATGATTCCGGTGCAACTCATGGTGTCCGTGCTGAAATTGGGGGGCAACCAGTTTGTGGACCCCAAGAGGAAGAGTCCAAACCCAGGTTGTGAGGTTGTGGGGTTGGAAAAGACATGGATCCCCAAGCTTTTTGGTTGGCTTTTTGAAGCTAAGGCAAACCCACCGGAAGGATTTGGAAAATCCGGACCGGATCTTTGCGCACATCTCTCGAGTGTTTCGTTTTTCTCCGGTGTCGCCAAGGCATATCACTCCTGGTCGCAAAGCGGGGCTGGAAGCTCAGGGGGAAACTCCACAGGCTTGAGGTTCGGAATCCAAAGCAAGGAGCAATTCCCTGAGCGAATGTCCGAAAGGAAGACCACCTGGATCGCCAGTTGCGATCGCTCTTTGCCATCCACCTTACCCCAAAAACAAGAACAATCAGCAACTTGGCCATCTGGGTGGTAGTCTACGGGACAAAAGAGATCCACAAAAACCGGGGGGCCACCCAACTGTGCATGGGGCTAGCTCACAAAGGGATGCACAGCAGACCCCCCCAAATCCCTAACTTTTGCCGTCTTGTTTTGAGGACATTTTCCGGGACACATCGAGGAGAACCACTATTGGGTTCCCCCTTGTTTCAACGATATGCACAAAACTGCAATTTGTGTTTGGTCGAAATGAAACCACCAGGGTGGGTTCTATTTACCAGGGTTCCGTTTCGGGTACCTATTTTTGACCACAGTCATTGTGGAGGTGACCATGCTGATTTTGATTCAGCCCTTGTTCCTGGTCTTCTTCCCCTTGGTGCCCGCCCTGTGCCTGCGAGTGGGCTACAGCACCATGATGACCGTGTCCCTGGCCTATCTCTACAGCGCCGCTTGGGTCGAGAGCGGGATCTATTTCCACCTAAAAGAAATGTCAGAGGAGAAAGGTGCGTTGGTTTTTGGTGGGTGTACACTAGAGACAGATGTGTCGTTTTACCTGGGGTGGTTTGGTGGTGGAAAGCATCGGGAGTTTGAAGGCGAGGCGCCGCATTTTGTGGCGGTTTGGGCTCCGCATGAATCGACGGACCCTTTTTGAAGCGGGAGTTGGGTTCGCTCGGACCATCCCCAGCACGGTCTCCATTTCGAAAGGCGTGGACCTGAGGTCCTGATCGCTGCGAACCTGAGCATCGCTTTGTCCGACTGGGTCCCGGTGTTTTTTCTGGGCGCCTTCACCCTGATCGGCGGCGCCTTGGAGTTGGAAGGGGCGCCTTGGGGTGATTGGTTGGGACACATGCGGTACGCCTAAATGGGCACCTGCAGTCAACGCCCAGTGGACCCTCTGTATTGCGCGCGGGTCGCACCGATCATGCGGTGGACACGTGGCTAAGAGCGTTTAGCGATCAGACGGCTGGCACTTTGGATAAGAGTGTTTAGCTCTCAGGCGCAGGTGTTTGATTTGTTTTTTCCGTAGCATTGTCTGCTGGTTTTGGGATGGTTTTCCTTTGGAGGCTTGTGGAAGCGCTCAACAAAGTGCGCTGACGTATCAAACCACTTTTGATAGGGACCCCACACAAAATTACCTAACATAGATTTGGTGATGTGCGTCAAAGTCCCTTCAATTTTCACCTGTTTGAATGTATGGGATTTGCGTTGCTCCCAGCCCCACCTCCAATTCCCATGCAACTCAACCCGCTTTGAAGCGACCGAGTCTTGAGTCGAAGCGTGCGCTCACGCCGGTATAGGCCCTTGAAACGCCTTGGTAGAATACTCGGTATGCAAAACAGAGCTGAGTTCCCCACAAGCGGTGGACAGAGGGTCTGGGAGGTTCGTGCCGGTCGTGCCGGTTGCCAAAGTGGTGGGTGGACATGAATCCCCACCGAACTCGGATGTCCACCATAGCCTCAAAAGCTTAAAAGAGGACAGACCCGAGAAGCCAACATCTGACCCATTGGGGGAAACCATGAGCTGTGTGGGACCATGTCCCTTCGGAGGCTTCATGCCGCTGAAGGAGTACGTGGATTCCCGCTTTTCCACCCCCGAGGAGATCCTGCGGTTCAAGAGCGTGCAGTGGGTCATCGGCTACGTGCTGGGCATGGCAGGGGAAGTGGGAAGTGCTGTGGGTACCCTCGTTACCTTTTTGTTTTCGGAGATAGGGAATCCCAAAGCAGAACCCGCAAAAAAGAAGAGGGGTGTGCCAAGTGGGGGACACATTTTTTGCAAGGAGTTTGGTGAGATTGGGTCCGATTCCGCTACGGGACGCAGGCGGGCCTCACCGAACTCACTGAAAGGGGGCCCTAAGGCTTCCCGAGGCTTCTTTATTCGCAGGATGCGATATGTTTCCCCAGGTCTCCTTTTGGTTTTTCCATAAGTTTCCCCACATGAGCCACTTGCTCAAAACTGGGGTAGATGCTCCGGTTGGTAAGGGACAGTCCCGAGCACAAATAGCAGTGGATCTCCGCCTTAGTTCTTGAAGCATGGTTCTGGGATTCCGACCATTTCAATACCGGCTTTTGACTACTCACATGATGTCCCCATGGGTGTCCCATATGTTCCCTCCCTTTTCATCCTGCCCCCAGGGCATCGGCCCCGTGTACGCCTCGCTCTTTGATGCGCGCTCCCAGACCTACCTGGCGCGCTCGGCGCGGGCCTCGGAGCAGCAACCAAGCGGCAAGCGGGGCTTGCCGGGCGCGATGCGATTTTTCATGGATTTCCAAGGCATCAGAAGCCTTGAAAAGAGAATGTTGGGGGGAATTCGCATGAACACCAGTGTTTTTGAGGCTACCCTTTGCGGGGTTGGTGGAAAAAGGGTTTCATACCCAAACTCCTGCGTTTCCTGTGCACATTCCCGCTCGATTTTTTGGACCGAGGTGCCCAACATCTTGGCAGCTCGGCGGTGGATTCGCCATGGTTTCAGAGGAAAAGAAGAAAGAAGGAACCTGTTCGGGGAGAGGAACATCATATGTTGACATGCATTTGGTCGTTTCTTTGAACGGACCACCAAGAGCGGAAAAGACCAAGTGGGGTGTGATTTTGAAGCCCTGGTGCTTGAATTGCCACTGCGTTTGGATGCACTCCACCTTTTCGGTTCCCCCGAAATCAACTCCGGGGGTCCTCCTGGGAGCGACCGGGTCGTGCAATCTCTCAGGCCTGCTCGCTGATGGCCGCTTGGCTGGGGCGTTTTCCCGCGTCACTTTTTGGAGGAGGTCGCCTCAAGTCAAGACCGATGCGGGGAGACGAGGGGAGGCCCTCGTGATTCTTACCGGGTTTTCGGTATATCACCTCACCGATCGGTTGGGGTTGTGATGCCCATGTGTGCTTTTCGGTTGCGCGGAGCGGCAAGGTGATCCAGTTGCTGCACGCTCGGCGCTCGGAGTACAATCTAGATTACGGCAACTAGCTCAAAGTGGCCTTTTTTCTCACATAAAGTCTAAATTGAGCGCTGATCAGTGTTCGGAAGCGCCCTGCTTAGGTCCGATTTGTTATGTATCCTTTCATGCAGAAGACGCTGCATTTGATGGATGAGGGCGAGGCTAAGCTGAACAAGCGCTTTGGCCTCAAAGATGTCCTGTCTATTTCAGGGCTCCCTCCTTGGTTCCATTTACCAGTGCAACCCATTTTGGGTACCCATTTTTGACCTACAGCCATATGTCCCCTTGAAGGGTGGGTTAAACATCAACCTTTGGGCTGTTTTTAAGTAATTGTTTCCTTGGTGGGTGATGTCGATGGAAGACATAGGGAGTCATGGTGGGCAGACTTGGCCACATTGAGACCTGTCGAAGTCTCCTCCCTCTCTCATCTCCGTGGGGTCTGCAATGTTACCGAGCCTTTTTGCAGCTTGACCAATGGATATTGGATGCAGAAGAATCCCTCGCCCCCCAAACCCCCCCCCCCAAAAAAAAACAAAAAACCCTCCAAAAAGGTGATGCTCCCCCCGCACCCTCCCCCCCCTCCCCCGTCCCGGCCGAGGCTGTTTCAGCTGGTGAAGAAGGGTGATGCGCCTCTGGACAAGGAGGTGTGGCAAGCGGCGGGCCTGGAGAAACCCGACTGGAGGGAGAAAGAAACGCCTCGATTGTTTTTCAGCTTCCCTGGGTTTGTAGGTATCATTGGCTTTGCCACCCTTCAAGAAGACCATGGCGAAGGGTTACAGTAAGTTACTGTGCCTTCTTTCTTGGGCTTGCTTGGGATTGACTGGGTCAGGGTTTCTCTTTATAAACCAATCCGGAGCCTGATTTTTGAAGCTTCCTTCGTTTCAACCACCGAGTTTGGTAAGTTGCTACCACCAACTTAGGTTGCCAGCTGCTCAAAAATTCGCCCAGGTTCGGTCAAAGTGCCGGGTCCAGGACCTCGGGGGACACCGTTTTCGGGCTGGTTGAAAGGGAAACCAAAAAAGGAACAGCCAAGGCTGTGGCTCAAGTAGACTGCGCAGCCCACAAGGCCGCAAAAAACGGGCTGTCGAGTTTTGTGTTGCTTGCCCTTATGCATCCTTTCCACTCTAGACCTCGTTTTGGGCCGAGATTCAGATGAGCCACAATCAAATCCCGGGTAAGTGAAGGCCGGTAAGGGACGATCCCAGCCATAAATAGCTGCGGCCGCCTTCTTAGTTCTTCACATGGTTCTGGGATTACGCCCATGTTTGTACAGGGTTTTGACTACTCACAAGATTTCCCCATAGGTTTCCCATAGGTGTCCCATATTTCCATGTTTCCGGGTTCCATTTTGGTTACGCTAACTTTGACCCGCCGGATGAAGCTCTCGCGTAAGCTCACCCGAGGAAGGCCCTGGGCAAGAGCCTCGAGGAGGCGCAGGGGCCCTTCTTGGCCCTCGACGGCTTCAGGGAGTTCGTGAAGCGAGAGAGCCCTTCGGCAGCTCCCCATGATGATGAGGAAATCTAGGGTTAGGGGTAATGCTAAATCGGTGTTCCACAATTTATTGCCATTATCATTGTTATTCCTTGCATCATTGTAATGGTTGTTGCAAGTAAGCTTTGTTTCGCCCAATGCATGATTTGAGCACTGGAATGAGCTTCTCTGGTAGAAAAACCTCTCATGGTCCCAGACCTTATCAGATGTCTCACCATCCAACATGGCGTTGTATGATTATGATTACTTATCTAGGTTTAGGGGTAATGCTAAATCGGTGTTCCACAATTTATTGCCATTATCATTGTTACTACTCTTATTGTTGTAATTATTGCTGTTGCAGGTTTTTTGTTTGGTGCATATTTGCTTGTTTTGGCATTTGCTTATTTATGTATCCACTTATTCAATCATTCACTCATTCAATCATTCATTCAATCATTCATTCCTTGAGTCCCAGATAGATCGTACATCAGCTTACCCAAATTGGTGGTTTGGTTTGGTTTGGTGGTTTGGGGATTTGAACCCCTGGTTCTTGTAGGGGGTATCCCCCAAACTCCAAACCACCAATCCAAAGCAGCAGTTCGAGGAGAGCTGAGTACAGGGTTCTCATAGAACATCCACACCCCACCACATTTGCAATGAATCAGCTGGTATTGGGGTGATTTGTTGCCTCGAAGTTGAGTTGTTGGAACCTCAAAGATGATTTCATTTCTCGAACAATGGCTTTATCCCGTCCAATCAAAACTTATCCCCAAATGATTGATTAGGAGTGGGCTGGCTGCTTGGAGGGGGGTTGTGTAAACTTTTGGTCTGGTCTTCCTTTGGCTGCCTTTTCAATCAATCCCAATAACATCACCTATCATTATTTGATATTGTGTGATATGAGATGATCTAGTACAATCTATCTAGAATTACATAGCACAACATACCGCAACAGCACATGCCGTTACAAACATAGCATGCCTCAACATGCCATAACATCGCATACTATACACAATACGCACACAATACTGACGTATGCATAGTATACATAATGTACCCAATATGCAAAGTATACACACATATACATAATATGCATAACATGCATATTATACAACATGTGCATAGTTTACACAAGACACACAATGTAGATAACATACATGATGTACATAGTACACATCATACACATAACATACATCGTACACATCATACACATCATACACATCATATACACCTTATACACCTTATACATCATATGCATATCCTTTACAAATCATACACGCTATAAGGACATCCTATAGACAACATGCATCATATACAGTAACGTATGCATACCCCCAGGCACCCCGAGGCGACCAACGTAGCATGCGTCAACTCCGGGTCACGACTTGCGAGGCCCCAAAATAGGCCCGATCAAGGGGATGAGTCGCTCACGTTTTCGTTTTTCCAAAGATCAACAGGATCCCCAAATGCAAGAAAAAGCGGGGGTACGCTGCTCCCGTGTCACTTTGTAGCCGAAGCAAAACTGGTGCAAGCCTTTGAAACTGCAGGAGAAAGCAAAGTAGTGCGCAAAACCAACTCGTCCTGAGTTCATCAGTGCCGTTGAAAGTGCTTTTGAGTCGACGCTTGGTGTATTGAGTTTGTTCGAAGCAGTTCAACTGCCGTGGGCTGGAGCAGTGGAACCAGCGCCGCGCGGTCCGGGCGGTCGGCGGTCGGGTTGCTGATCAATCTTACGCCCGTGCCCTTTGGACTCTACCTGACCTGAGTGGTCATTGTGGTGCAAGACAGGTGAGCGCGGCCTTCCTGCATTGTGAGTGTGAACAAGCCCAATACACTGCTGCGGCGCTACCCCGTTACAGTTTCCTTACTGGTATTTTCGGGGCCCTTGCGCTTAAGCAATGGCAAACCCCTTCTCTGTTTTGGGTTCTGGATGGTTTGATGGGAAACATAGAGGAAACTCCCCACCAAAGCGTTCCCCTTCAAAAAAGCGTATGTTAAAGGGGGGAGCAGAGCTTAGCCAGTCGGCCCCCTTTGCAATGTTTGGTTGCCTGGAGGCTTTAAATGGGACGCCATCCATCTCTAAGCTCCAAACCAATTGGCCCGCTGCGCGTTGATCACCAAGCGCATGAGTTTGCCCAAAGCCAGAGTCAGAAGCTGCACTTGCACTTCCGGAGTTCGACCGTCCTGTGGACTGGACCACGTGCGGCCTATGATGTTTGCTGGCATTGCGCCAAACGCGCAACCAACTCGAGCGCGAGGTTCTTAACTAGGGACCATGGACCAGGGCCATTTCTATTGTTACGCTTTGAAAGCGCTGCTTTCAAGCTGCTTCGTTTTCCGGCTCGGGCGGCAATCTTCCCTAATTTGCCCCACCAGCCCAAAACACGAAAAACACGGAGCGTGTGGGCCGCTCCGTATGATACTTGTCTCAATACGGCTTCTTGTTCAAGGCTCTTTCACCTCCAGTTTTGCAGCCGTGGCTTCCAAAGCGGAGTGCGCGAAAAATGCACACGCAGAGCACACATGACCGTATCATTCACGTAACACACGAGAATTGACATAGTCGCATAACTATGCATACTGTACATAGTATACAGAGTGCGCGTAAACATACACAAGCACGCACCCTATGCCTTTTGTATTGCACAAAATTATTACATAATGTTCGGAATACGTATAGCATGCAACGTGCGCGCAATACAGATCGTTTCCAGAACAAGCTGCGCAATATGCATATTGCGTGTAATGTGCTTACTACACATAAGACAACATGACACACATAGTGTACACCACTCACACATAATATGTGATTTGCAAATAGACACCGCACACAACATACATACTCTACATAATATGCGTAATAGTCAAAACACAGAACGTTCGGATGGTTTTTTGGACTCGCAAAGCGCAGAGGCCATGAACCCCCTCCACCAAACCTAAGGAAAGCCCTTTCATGTTAAAACAACCCACGGTAAACAAACCATGAACAATCCCTATGCAAACCAACCCACTCTAAACCTACCTACCCTGCATTCGCACCCCAAGCCAGCGCAATCGCCACCACCCTCGGCCACAAGGGAGCGAAACGATGGAGGGTTGAAGAAGGGAAGGGTTGGAGGGTTCAGAAAGGTTCCTCCACTATGTGTGTAGCGCACAAACAGCGCGCGTAGTACACATTGTAACACACATAATATGCATGGTGTGCGTATTGCGCACAATATGTATACATTCGTATGTTTACATACCGGTATTGAGGATTCCGGGGAGGGCATTCAAAAGTCACCCAGCAATCTTGGATCTTGGATCTTGGACATGGTAATGCAAAAACTACACACAGTACGAAGAAACGTAACACTGGTATTAAGGGGGGGAATTCCAAGATTTCTCTCCAAAATCCCCCAACAATCTTGGATCTTGGATCTTGCATCCAGATTCCTTAGTACCGGAATCTGCGTGACAGACCTGGTACCGGTATTTAGATTCTACGGGGAGACATTCAAAGAGATGAATTCCCTCGAAGCAGAAGTCCTGCGTTGTGATTCAGCAGTCATGATTTCAGGGGGCAAGTTGACAAGAAGTTTCACAACCATTGGCATGGGCAAGCTTCAATGTTGAATCCCTTCTTTTTCTGGACGAAGCTTTCTTGGGCAATTGGGATTCTTGAATCTGGAAAACTTCTTCTTTTTTGTTCCAGGATTCTTGGTTCCGTGTTTGAAATTTTGGCGGGGTCTGGCATGTCTACGTCTTGTTTACAATGCGTGTTTTAGTTCTTGTTGTATTTACGTAGGCTTAACCTATACTATACTATAGGCTTAAACTGACTCTACGGCCTGTTTTTTGGAGTCAAGATTTGGAGCAAGCTTTCCTGAACAATTGCGAATCTTGAATCCAGAAGATATGCATTTCTTGTGTGCAAGAGGTAGATATTCCGTGACCATCTTTCATCGAAGCGTTTCACCCATGTTTTTGCCCAGAGAAACTTGCTCAGAGAACTTTTGCAGAGAAACTTGCGCAAAGAAGTTGCACGGAACGACAGCTTGTTCTGTGCCAAAAAGGCGGCTAATTTTGCGGAAAGGGTGGCTAGTGTGCCTTATGCGATTCCTAAGGCTTCTAGCATGTCTACATGTTGATGATTGTTGGTTGGAACGCGTTTTTCTTGGAGTTGTGCCCTGGAAGTGCTCTCTGTCCAAAACAAGATGAAAGGGACATGATAGACCGCACACCCGCGTGTCTCTGCTTCGGTCTCAAAAACAGTTGAACCACCACAGCCTGTCCGCCAAAAAGCCAGACGATTTTGCAACATCATCAAAACCATACAGGCTGCCAAAATGAAGCAAAACGGGGGCACCACAGGGGGGGGCGTAGCATCTGGCCATGGGTCAAAATCCAAAATTCCGTACCCCCAGTGAAGATCCCAATCCAACCACTAAAATCGGAAACCTAACATGGGTGGTGAATTCACCAATCCCAACCAAAATGGGATTTGGCCCACGGCCATATCATGTTTGCGTAGATCCGCCCAGGCGGGGGCACCAACGCGGAGGCCAAGGCCTTCTGCGAAAAGCTGGACTCAGCGTGGCTTGGCGGGGCCAAGTCGCGTGCGAAAGCCGGGGACATGTGGCTGGTGGATTCCTTGTAGTTTTTTTTTGGTTTGTTTGTATATATATATATATATATATGTTTTTTTGCCCCTGACTCCGTTGAGTGTTGTTGAAAAAGCTGCAATGCCTTATATTTTTTTTGCCCCTGACTCCTTTGAGTGTTGTTGGAAAAGCTGCAATGCCTGTGAGGCGTGAGGCTTCATATTTCCATATCTGTCGCCTAGACAATCCATGTCGGGTTGTGAGCGCCGTAGCGTGGCGCAGGCGCTTGCACCCCGAAGCTCAGGATTGCCAGCGCGGCAAAATGGGCTGAATCCAATGAACCGAAAAAGGACAAGTGATGGCGGCAAAGATCCTCCCGCTGCGAGGGAGAAAAAAAAACCAACAAGTGGATACGTGGGAGACTTTGCGCGCACTATGCTGCTGTTCTGGGGGGTGGGGAGAATTCGGCCTGGGGCTTGCCAACTTTGTCGTGGGGGTTACAGCTTTCAAGGGTGCCGCAGTCGGAACCCGGACACCCGGCTAGTTTCCGAACCCACCCACAGGCGCTGGACGATGAGAATCAGGCGCGTGGATTGCAGATCCTGCAAGGGAATCCAGTGGGCGATTTTCCACCCACGTCGCTGGGGGCGATTTTGACATGAATTCAGGTTGGTGAGTATTGAAGATTAAGAGACTGCACCCTGAACCAAGCAGTGCATTTTGTTAGAGGAGCCTCTTTTTGGGAACCCGGAAACCCCTTTTATTTGCTTAAGGACATGTTTAATTCCCTTTGTCTTAAAGGGAATCTATCACTGGAGCTTTTTCCTCATTTGGGTATGGGTCAAACTTAACCCACCAGAAAAACCGCATGTTTCCACTTCCCAGGAATTCCATTTTGGGCGGCTGTTTTTCACCCACCATCTTTTCCCGTGAAAAAAAAGGACCCGGAGGCCCTCCTCTTCCGCGTAGACGCGTCGCGTTTTCCGTGGCGCAGGCCTTGACGGACCGCTTGAAGGACGCGGAGAAGGCGGAGGAGGAGGCCTTGACCAAGGCGCGGGCGGCGGGCGAAGCGCCGAGCAGCCGAGGCGAGAAGGTCCATGGGGGATTTTGGTTGGTGAATTCACCACCCATGTTAGGTTTCCGATTTTGGTGGTTGGATTGGGATGTTCACTGGGGGCTAACCGGGGTTTTGAGGGTGGGACCCTACAAAATGGCTTCGGATTCCCTTGTGGTTTCCTAGTAAAAAGGAGAAAAGAGGTAGCCTCAAATTTGGAGGAACCTTTTTGGGGTGGGTTTAAAAGTGAACCAACAGGAACACCATTTTCCTTGGGGTTCCTCTAAAGACATACTCAGATGGAGGTTCCTCGACGTAGTGCTCCCCTAAAATTGGGAGGTTTTCTTCTGGTTTACCTTTCAAATACTAGCCAAAAGGGGGTCCACCATTTTAATAATTTTAATGGCTTGAATGGCAACCCCAGCCGAATACGCAGGGACCCCGGCCTTACCATTCGTTGTGCTTCCATTTGCGTATCTTCCCTGATCCGGGGATTGAACGGATGGTTTCCCTGAATATCTGATGGCATATGCGTGACGAATGGAAGCCCCCCCACGGGGGACATGTTTGTTGGAGGGTACCCCAACCACAAGGAAATCCCGCCGTGTTTTGGACTTCCCCTCTGTCTCTGTCTCTGTCTCTGTCTCTGTCTCTGTCTCTCTCTCTCTCTCTCTCTCTCTCTCTCTCTCTCTCTCTCTCTCTCTCTCTCTCTCTCTCTCTCTCTCTCTCTCTCTCTCTCTCTCTCTCTCTCTCTCTCTCTCTCTCTCTCTCTCTCTCAAGAAGCTGATTTTTGCTTGCCAGTGCTCATTGCCGTGGATGGAGAGAATCGGCATGACAGACCGGTTGAAGTCAACATGGTTTTGGTCTCAGCTGAGGCTCCTCCTCCCAAAGCGGAACAGCGAGAGGCTCAGCTGAGTGAGGGTCCTACTTTCCAGGTGAGCCACTGGCTCAAAACCGATTCGGGTAGATGATCCGGTTCAGGGACAATCCCCTTGCCATAAATCGCTGCGGATCTCCGGCTTCGTAGTTCTTGAAGCATGGCTCTGGGATTACGACCATTCTAATACCGGGTTTTGATGACGACTCAGGTCCCTTGGAAGTGGACAAGAGGTTAAGACATGCAAGGGATATCGAGGAATCCCACTGGAACCCACCGATCACCCGAATCATGGAAGTGGACCGACCGGGTTTCGGGTTTGACCACCGACTTTGTTTGCTTGGGCAAGGGCCCCCATCTTCATTGGACAAAAAGAGACATTGCGTGGACACAGATCCCCCATGAATTTCTGATGACCCCAACAAAGGTCCCAAGCAACTTCCTATCACATGTGGGGAGCAGGACGTCGCGTGCGTCGCCTGCTGCCCAAGCGGCCTTTGTGAGGGGTCCACTTGGCTGCGGGTCAAAACCAATAGGATCCCATTTTGGGGTAGGTGCACCACCCATTCTAGTCTATTTTAGTTGTTGGATTGGGATGTTCACCGGGGGTACGGAATTTTGGATTTTGACCCATGGCTACCATGGTAGAGGGGGCTGGATACTTCGTGGTACAACTTGACTCGGTCGGTCAGAGAGGTAGAGAGGGTCGTAACCACGACAAAGAACCTGTTACAACGACAAAGGTCATTGTTACAACGACAAAGAATCTTGTTACACCGACAAGTTTCAGTGAAGACTATCCCGACAAGGCTTCTACTACTACTACTACTACTACTACTACTACTACTACTACTATTACTATTATTACTACTACTACTACTATTACTATTATTACTACTACTACTACTATTACTATTATTACTACTACTACTACAATTACTATTATTACTACTACTACTACTACTATTACTATTATTACTACTACTACTATTACTATTATACTACTACTACTACTACTACTATTACTATTACTACTACTACTACTATTACTTATTACTACTACTACTACTACTATTACTATTATTACTACTACTACTACTATACTACTATTACTACTATTACTACTACTACTACTATTACTGCTATTACTACTACTACTACTACTATTATTACTGCTATGACTACTACTACTACTACTATTACTGCTATTACTACTACTACTACTATTACTACTATTACTAGGACTATTATTACTAGGACTACTATTACTACTATTATTACTACTATTACTACTATTACTACTACTACTATTACTACTACTACTATTACTACTATTACTACTACTACTATTACTGCTATTACTACTACTACTACTATTACTGCTATTACTACTACTACTACTACTATACTGCTATTACTACTACTACTGCTATTACTACTACTACTACTACTACTACTATTACTACTTATTCCTTCTTATTCCTTTCTACTGACCTTCTTATTCCTTTCTATTGACCTTCTTATTCATTCTTATTCCTTTCTAATCATCTTCTTATTCCTTCTTATTCCTTTCTATTGACTTTCTTATTCCTTCTTATTCCTTTCTTTTCACCTTCTTATTCCTTCTTATTCCTTTCTACTGACCTTCTTATTCTTTTCTATTGACCTTCTTATTCCTTCTTATTCCTTTCTAATCACATTCTTATTCCTTCTTATTCCTTTCTATTGACCTTCTTATTCCTTCTTATTCCTTTCCATTGACCTTCTTATTCCTTCTTATTCCTTTCTATTGACCTTCTTATTCCTTCCTTATTCCGTTTCTATTCCACCACAATTCTTATTCTTCTTATCCAACTTATTGGCCTTCTTATTCCTTGCTATTGACCTTCTTAGACCTTCTTATTCCTTCTTATTCCTTTCTATTGACCTTCTTATTCCTTCTTATTCCTTTCTATTGACCTTCTTATTCCTTCTTATTCCTTCTATTGACCTTCTTATTCCTTCTTATTCCTTTCTATTGACCTTCTTATTCCTTCTTATTCCTTTCTATTGACCTTCTCATTCCTTCTTATTCCTTTCTATTGTCCTTCTTATTCCTTCTTATTCATTTCTATTGGCCTTCTTATTCCTTCTTATTCCTTTCTATTGACCTTCTTATTCCTTCTTATTCCTTCTTATTCCGTTCTATTGACCTTCTCATTCATTCTTATTCCTTTCTAATCACATTCTCATTCCTTCTTATTCCTTTCTATTGACCTTCTTATTCCTTCTTATTCCTTCCTATTTGCCTTCTTATTCCTTCTTATTCCTTTCTATTGACATTCTTATTCCTATTCATTCCTTTCTAATCACCTTCTTATTCCTTCTTATTCCTTCTTATTGACCTTCTTATTCCTTCTTATTCTTTTCTATTTACATTCTTATTCATTCTTATTCATTTCTATTCACATTCTTATTCCTTCTTATTCCTTTCTATTGACCTTCTTATTCCTTGCTATTGATCTTCTTAGACCTTCATATTCCTTCTTATTCCTTTCTATTGACCTTCTTATTCCTTCTTATTCCTTTCTATTGACCTTCTTATTTACCTTCTTATTCCTTCTTATTCCTTTCTAATCACCTTCTTATTCCTTCTTATTCCTTTCTAATCAACTTCTTATTCTTTCTTATTCCTTCTTATTGACATTCTTATTCCTTCTTATATATCTTTCTATTGACGTATCTCATTCCGTCTTATATATTCCTATCCTATTGACCTTCTTATTCCTTCTTATTCCTTTCTATGACCTTCTTATTCCTTCTTATTGCTTTCTTTTCACCTTCTAATTCCTTCTTATTCCTTTCTACTGACTCTTGCTTCATGTCCTTTCTATTCACCTTCTTAGTCCTTCTTATTCCTTCTTATTGACATTCTTTTTCCTTCTTATTCCTTTCTATTCACATTCTTATTCCTTCTTATTCCTTTCTAATCACCTTCTTATTCCTTCTTATTCCTTTCTATTGACCTTCTTATTCATTCTTATTCCTTTCTATTGACCTTCTTATTCCTTCTTATTCCTTTTTATTCACCTTCTTATTCCTTCTTATTCCTTTCTACTGACCTTCTTATTCCTTTCTATTGACCTTCTTATTCCTTCTTATTCCTTTCTAATCACCTTCTTATTCCTTGTTACTCCTTTCTATTGACCTTCTTATTCCTTCTTATTCCTTTCTATTCACATTCTTATTCCCTCTTATTCCTTTCTATTGACGTTCTTATTCCTTCTTATTCCTTTCTATTGACCTTCTTATTCCTTCTTATTCCTTTCTATTGACCTTCTTATTCCTTCTTATTCCTTTCTTTTCACCTTCTTATTCCTTCTTATTCCTTTCTACTGACCTTCTTATTCCTTTCTATTGACCTTCTTATTCCTTCTTATTCCTTTCTAATCACATTCTTATTCCTTCTTATTCCTTTCTATTGACCTTCTTATTCCTTCTTATTCCTTTCCATTGACCTTCTTATTCCTTCTTATTCCTTTCTATTGACCTTCTTATTCCTTCTTATTCCTTTCTATTCACATTCTTATTCCGTCTTATTCATTTCTATTGTCCTTCTTATTATTCCTTGCTATTGTGCGGGGTTGTGATTAGTTGGGTGTGATTGAATTGTGGATTGGTTGGGTGGGTGTGGGTTGGTTGGGGGGGAGCGTTGTTGTTGGACGCTTCTTAGACCTTCTTATTCCTTCTTATTCCTTTCTATTGACCTTCTTATTCCTTCTTATTCCTTTCTATTGACCTTCTTATTCCTTCTTATTCCGTTCTATTGACCTTCTTATTCCTTCTTATTCCTTTCTATTGACCTTCTTATTCCTTCTTATTCCTTTCTATTGACCTTCTTATTCGTTCTTATTCCTTTCTAATCACTTTCTTATTCCTTCTTATTCCTTTCTATTGACCTTCTTATTCCTTCTTATTCCTTCCTATTTACCTTCTTATTCATTCTTATTCCTTCCTATTTACCTTCTTATTCCTTCTTATTACTTTCTATTGACCTTCTTATTCCTTCTTATTCCTTTCTAATCACCTTCTTATTCCTTCTTATTCCTTCTTATTGACCTTCTTATTCCTTCTTATTCATTTCTATTCACATTCTTATTCGCGTCTGATTATCCTTTCTATTGACCCTTCGTATGCCTTCACTTATTCCTTCCTATTTACCTTCTTATTCCTTCTTATTCCTTTCTTATTGACGCGTACATATTCTTCTTATTCGCTTTCTTAATCACATTCTTCAGTCCTTCTGAATTTTATTCCTGTCTATTGACATTCTTATTTCCGTCTTATTCCTATTCTATTGACGCTTCCTATTCCTCTCTTATTCCGTCTATTGACCTTCTTAATTCACTTCTTATCTTTTCTATCCACTGCGTGTTCATGTGGTTCTCAGACCTTCCACATTTCCGTTTCTACTGACCTTCTTATTCCTTTCTATTGACCTTCTTATTCCTTCTTATTCCTTTCTAATCACCTTCTTATTCCTTCTTATTCCTTTCTATTGACCTTCTTATTCCTTCTTGGCCTTCTTATTCCTTCTTATTCCTTTCTATTGATCAAAGGAAGTTTAACAAGAAACTTCCGTAGTACTGGAACTAAATGAGCTAGCTGCTTTGACATATAGCTATAACAGATAGCTAGCATGACAAATAGATAGCTTTGACATATAGCTAGCTTGACAGATAGATAGCTTTCCAATAGGCTAGCATGACAGATAGATAGCTTTGACATATAGCTAGCTTAACACATAGATAGCTTTCCAAAGACTAGCATGACAGATAGATAGCTTTGACATATAGCTAGCTTGACAGATAGATAGCTTTGTCATATAGCTAGCTTGAAACAGATAGATCAGCTTTCCAATGGGAGCTAGCATGACAGAACACACACACATCACATCCTGGCTGTAAGATGTGAGGAACACCGGCTTAAGAGAGTTTCTTTCATGATCGCAGCTAGCCTTCAGAAAAAGCTTCAGGCTGGGG